CTACAATGTTTTCTAGTGTTTTCAGACATCCTACAGAGTTTTCTAGTGTTGTGAGACATCCTACAATGTTTTCTAGTGTTGTGAGACATCCTACAGTGTTTTCTAGTGTTGTGAGACATCCTACAGTGTTTTCTAGTGTTGTGAGACATCCTACAGTGTTTTCTAGTGTTGTGAGACATCCTACAGAGTTTCCTAGTGTTGTGAGACATCCTACAGAGTTTTCTAGTGTTGTGAGACATCCTACAGAGTTTTCTAGTGTTGTGAAACATCCTACAGAGTTTTCTAGTGTTGTGAGACATCCTACAGTGTTTTCTAGTGTTGTGAGACATCCTACAGTGTTTTCTAGTGTTGTGAGACATCATACAGTGTTTTATAGTGTTGTGAAACATCCTACAGTGTTTTCTAGTGTTGTGAGACATCCTACAGTGTTTTCTAGTGTTGTGAGACATCCTACAGTGTTTTCTAGCGCTGTGAGGGATATCCTGCAGTGTTTTCTAGTGTTGTGAGGGATATCCAGCCAGTGTTCCCTAGTGCTGGGATATCCCCCATATCCACCCAGTGTTCCCTAGTTCTGGGAAGGATATCCATTAGTGTTCTCTAGTAATGTGAGGAAGGATAGCCATTAGTGTTCTCTAGTAATGTGAGGAAGGATAGCCATTAGTGTTCTCTAGTAATGTGAGGAAGGATAGCCATCACCTGCTACAAGCGTGAAGAAAACGAACGCGGTCTGCTACCAAATGGGGACTTGGAAATTTAGCCCAATTTATTATGCTGCTTTGCATAGAAATTACTCCTTGTCCGGGGCAGCGTTAGGTAAGTTCCTATTAGAGCGCGAATTAAGTGTGCCAAATTTGTCGTATTTTTACGTTAATGCGACGAACAGCGAGAACGTTAGTGGCAGAAGATTATTAATATTATAACGATAATTATCCTTTAATGTCGTTGGAAAAGCGGCGGAAGTTAAGAGGTGCTTAATCGTCGTCGTTCCGATGGTGACCGTCTAAACGACGTGTTGGGGCGCTCGTTACGTCGGGGGTAGACAGCAGGGGGCGACCATTACGTCGGGGTAGACAGCAGGGGGCGACCATTACGTCGGGGTAGACAGCAGGGGGCGACCATTACGTCGGGGTAGACAGCAGGGGGCGACCATTACGTCGGGGTAGACAGCAGGGGGCGACCATTACGTCGGGGTAGACAGCAGGGGGCGACCATTACGTCGGGGGTAGACAGCAGGGGCACCCATTACGTCGGGGTAGACAGCATGGGCACTCATTACGTCGGGGTAGATAGCAAGGGGCACCCATTACGTCGGGGTAGATAGCAAGGGGCACCCATTACGTCGGGGTAGATAGCAGGGGGCACCCATTACGTCGGGTTAGATAGCAGGGGGGCACCCATTACGTCGGGGTAGATAGCAAGGGGCACCCATTACGTCGGGTTAGATAGCAGGGGGGGGCACCCATTACGTCGGGGTAGATAGCAAGGGGCACCCATTACGTCGGGGTAGACAGCATGGGCACCCATTACGTCGGGGTAGATATCAGGGGGCACCCATAAGTAACATGGTTCCATAAATCAACAAATCATTGTTTCCTGTTCTATAGCTATCATAATAAAACAAAATAAGAACCCCAAAAAATATATATTTAATAATAAAACTATTTTGATTAAATTCCAGATTTAAAAAATACTTCAGTTTACATAGAAAACTACTGACCAGAGATTGAGACATTTTTACTTGTCAGGAGTAATTGGTAGAGAGCAAGTTGTGTAAGCTGAGTGTAGTGTTAAGCTGGGTGTAGGGTTAAGCTGGGTGTAGGGTTAAGCTGGGTGTAGGGTTAAGCTGGGTGTAGGATTAAGCTGGGTGTAGGGTTAAGCTGGGTGTAGGGTTAAGCTGGGTGTAGGGTTAAGCTGGGTGTAGGGTTAAGCTGGGTGTAGGGTTAAGCTGGGTGTAGGGTTAAGCTGGGTGTAGGGTTAAGCTGGGTGTAGGATTAAGCTGGGTGTAGGGTTAAGCTGGGTGTAGGGTTAAGCTGAGTGTAGGGTTAAGCTGGGTGTAGGATTAAGCTGGGTGTAGGGTTAAGCTGGGTGTAGTGTTAAGCTGGGTGTAGTGTTAAGCTGGGTGTAGGGTTAAGCTGGGTGTAGGGTTAAGCTGGGTGTAGTGTTAAGCTGGGTGTAGGATTAAGCTGGGTGTAGGGTTAATCTGGGTGTAGTGTTAAGCTGGGTGTAGGATTAAGCTGGGTGTAGGGTTAAGCTGAGTGTAGTGTTAAGCTGGGTGTAGTGTTAAGCTGGGTGTAGGGTTAAGCTGGGTGTAGGGTTAAGCTGGGTGTAGTGTTAAGCTGGGTGTAGGATTAAGCTGGGTGTAGGGTTAATCTGGGTGTAGTGTTAAGCTGGGTGTAGGATTAAGCTGGGTGTAGGGTTAAGCTGGGTGTAGTGTTAAGCTGGGTCTAGGGTTAAGCTGGGTCTAGGGTTAAGCTGGGTGTAGGGTCCAGCTGGGTGTCGG